ATCAAGTAGTCTCTTCGGGAGAATACATAAAAGCAAAAACCATAGTTGAGGTTCAAAAATATTTTTGATACCTATATTGGTTGTTGAAAATTTAATTTTTAAGCTGCAAAATCTACCTCGCAAAACTTTTGACGAAACCTAATATTAAGAAACACCCATCTGTACTATAGTTCTCGTACTACTAATAATTATACTTATAATGAAAACAAACAAAAATACTATCATGAAATATATGATATAAATGAAATACTAAGCTATAATTTTAATCAATGTAGTTTATAAAATAACGATTTTGCCCGTACTTAGTTTCCAAGTCAATATTATGGGATACCATAGATACCATTTCGGGAAAAACAAAACTGAATTTAAATGACAAGTTGGATTATGACCAAGGTATACATCTTATAAATGTTTTCTGAATTAGATATACAGTAAAACTTTAATAAATTGTGAACATTTGTTATCATTTTTGTTGATATAATATAATTGAAAATATTAATAATTTTTATTGAAAATAGTTGGGATACGTTAAGACACCTGTTACAATGCAATTTATTTAATTGGGCATATAGAGTATTATATAATATTAATTACGAAACAAAGTTTATAAAAGTCTATAACTTAATTTTAAATTACAGATAGTTAAAAGATATTAAAAATAGGAGTTTACCTTACAGAAATCATGCACTGTTTAATATTGACACAATATCTACATGTAATACAAATTATTACTAAATTATTGAAATAAACCGATAATAAAGAGATAATTGGCGATAGATATGAGGATTAGTTGTGAGAACTCATAGGAATTGATGGGAAATAAGTCGAGACAATAGAAACCAATGACAGGACCCGACAGTCGNTAAGTCGAGACAATAGAAACCAATGACAGGACCCGACAGTCGGCTAATCATTGACTCGATTCTCAATCTCTGTCTATAAGTCAGTGAACGAGTCATTAGTATTGAGTACAACAATGGATAGCATTTGTGAGCGCTTTTCGATACCATCGCCAGCAATGAGTTTATAGCGAAAAGAACCAAAAACATTACAATAGAGTCAAACAGTGTCCATAATTTAAACAATAGATTTGACTCAGGATTTTGCGATGAATATAAAAGTAACAGAGAGTCGGGTATTGTCATGATATACGTAATGAAATAAATTTTTGAGAAAAACTGATTCAACGTATGAGTGGTTCGTGTGATAGCGTTGTGTTCAACAATGGCACGCATTAACCTTCCGTTGAGTCCATGTTTGGCATAAAACTCTATCCGACTATTGATTGCATCGAAACTGTACTTCAAATACATTGCGACTATGATTAACATACAGGCGCAGATACATATTATGGTAAATATGTGAATATATGATATTATTGTAATAAATGCCCAAAATATAATAGATATGAGGGTGTAATTATAATGACTGTCAAAGTAGGCTACAATTGTCGGTAATATCAGAAATAATGACCAAATAATTGTATTTCCATATAATAATGGAGTGATAAATAAATTCATATAAGTATTGAATATTAGGTTAACTTTCTGAGCATTTCTGTAACCAATGGGTAAAACGGATCGTTTGTTTTGTAGCCTACTTTGACAGTCATTATAATTACACCCTCATATCTATTATATTTTGAGCATTTCTGTAACCAATGGGTAAAACGGATCGTTTGTGTTTCATATCATTCATTACATTCACAATTAATAATTGGTTTGTATATTCATAAATACAAATGACCATGCTTGCCATAATGACAGCCATTGAGATCAAAAACCCTAACGAACCAACGAGTTGTGTATTTCCCATCATATATGTCGGGTCACACAGTAACCTCTGAAGCCATAGCTTATTTGTACTATTGGTACTAGGTGATATCATTGCACACATTAAACATTTGATTGCAAATATAAATGATATTATTTTGATGATAATTATGACGACTAAACGTCGAATGCTTTTGAATCCGGACTCATATTCATCGATATCGACGCAAATCGTGAAATATGTGTTTTTGCACCACTTTTCCAACAGCGATACGGCATGACCAGGGGAGTACCAGTTCTCTAGGTTTATATCAAATATTTTATTTACCAAATGTATGACAAGTGTTGACACCTTGGTGTTAAACTGTCGGTGCAAATAATCATTTTCATTCATTTTGAAGTTAATATTAATGATAAATAATGTTTAAAATTAATTACTGAAAATATGGTACTTTAGTAGTTATTAATAGTTTTAAAATTTAAAAGCAAATTATCAATTGACTTTATTTAGCTACTTTATGTTATTGAAAATCATTATATAAATATAATTTTAATTATAAAGCTAAGCAAACACAAAATGATGAATAATATATAAATTAATGATCCAGAACAAATGGTATATTAATATATAATTTGATATTCAAGATAAATAATTGTAAAATTCCCGAAATGTTATATACATTATATAAATTTGAATACCTTATTTATAAAGGTTCCGCATCACTTATCTATTTTGTGTCAATATTAATTTAATGAGTTTTATAATAGTAAATATTGTTATCGTTAAATAAATGTACAATATAATTATAACATTTGTTTGCATTTGGTCAAATTAAATAAATTAAACATTTAATTAAAAACATATTTGTCTGTTATATCAATAAAACCGCCAAACTTTGTTTACTAATTCATTGAATATATATGAAAAAAATTATTAATCCCTAAAAGACTAGTGAAAACATACAGAATATAAACATATAATGGGATAATATTTAAATAATTAATGCATTTCTTATATATTAAGAGTATTAAAATAGTCGTCAATAGAGTGAATAGTATTATGAAATTCGATATCCAATGCACTCCAGTGTTTATACCTCGGCCTCTGTCACCATAGTATCACCTAAAAGGTCACCAAAACAAACACACCATTACTCTCAAGAGTTTTAATAATTAGTCGTCCATAGAGTGAATAGTATTACGAAAGACAACACAAACTAATCGTCAGTTTTGTTCAATAAGACTGAAGTTGTCGTCAATGTCTTAATAAACCATTGAATTGCAACCTATATTTAAGTGCTGCATGGATGGGGTGATTCACAAGTCTAAATTTAATGTTTCGTATTTATTACTGGCTTTAATAATGTTACTAAGCAAGGTTATTTCCCACCCACCCACCATAGACATGTGAATCACCCTATCCATGCAGGACTTAAATATAGGTTGCAATTCAATGTAATAAACTATCCAAAAAATACTTGACAAATACTTGATGCAAGTTTTTGTTTGTAAAATACAATTAAACTATGCTTTTATAACAGTTCTGACACTATTTAATATAACAATAACTTATAATTATGCTCAATTAAATTATTAAAAATGTTTTAATTTAAGAAACTAAATTTAAGAAATTAAATCTAAAAATTTAACTAATTGGGAAAATATTCCTTTTAAAATTGTTTTAGTTTTTTAATAACTGAATTTCATTTTTCCAATTTAAAATTTATTATTAATCGTTATTTTATTTTAATCTCCAATACTTGTCAAATTAATTTCAAGTATTAATTGAGCTAGACAAAATTAGGACAATAAAGCTTATTTCTTTATACTTGTTACTATTAAAAATTAATAAAACTATCAGCAAAATTGAAAAATTTGAAACAATCATAGTATCCAATGTTTTTCAGGTTACTTATCATAATAATTAATATTTAATATAAGATTATTACAACATCAATCGTGTTATTTTGTTATTTGGTCACGATTTTATATAATTTCATTAACAATTTATGTTAAATAAAATACTTGTCCTTATAATGTCAAGTATTAACCCTTGCCTTGTCACTTGACAAATACCCAAAATACTTGAATGCCAAGTCAAATACTTGGGATCTGGTCACTCTGCCGTGAAAGTCATTGAAATTCACTAAACACTTGTCGTTTGGGTAGACAATCGTCGACCGGTCCGACGGCATCCCAACCGACACTCGGGTCCACCACTTGGGCGGCCATACGATGTGCAGACATGTCGCTCATAGCCCTAATGGCACGCAACCAAAGGTATTGCTATCAAAAACAACATTAAATAATACTTTTAATAATAATAACATTCAATTAATTTATTTTCCATTAAATCATCTTTTAGTATATTCACAGCGACTGAGTATCTGACCACCGATTACGTCATTACAATTGTCACGACACTCAGTCTGGGGATCAAATCAAACCCCACTCTTACTGACAATTAATTAATTAAAAAACGCCAAACGTAGGCATAAAATACTGTATAAAATAATGTATAAAATGGCTAAAACTGATAGCCGGGTCCTGCACTAACACTTCGGGTTGACTCCCCAGCGATCACACCCTACCGTATAAGAGAGGGTTTCATACAAAACGAACTTTTGTCACCACTCATACTCATAGACCTTGACACAATCAATACAATTACAGTTGTCTTTAAAACATAATTTTATAAATGTAATTTTACATTTAAAGCTATATTAAATGGATATAAATGTATTGTTTAGACTAGATATGAATAACCACATACTTTTCAAATATGATCAACTGTAATACTATTAAAATACCATTACATGCCATTTAGGGAACACAAAATTCACTGAATATTAATTACATATTTGATTATGATGAGGTATGCATCTTATAAATATTTTATGAATTCCATATAACACTTTAATAAAATGTGAACATCTTGGTATAGTATTTGTTGATATAATATAATTGAAAATATTTTTAATTTTTATTGTAAATTGTTGGCATCCGTTGGGACACCCGTTACACTGCAGTTATTTAATTGGGATACATTTACAGCATTATACAAAATTAATTACCAAGAAAAGATTATAAAAATCAATATAAATTACAGATAGTTGAACAGATATTGACAATAGGCGTACATTTTAAACTTTAATATTTAAAGTAAGCTAGCACATTTTATAATTTAAACAATATCTACATGTAATACAACTTAATTAATACTAAACTATTGAAATAAACCGATAATAAAGAGATAATTGGCGACAGATGTGAGGATGAGTTGTGAGAACTCATAGGAATTCATAGGAAATAAGTCGAGACAATAGATACCAATGACAGGACCCGACAGTCGGCTAATCATTGACTCGATTCTCAATCTCTTTCTATAATTCAGTGAACGTATGGCTAGTATTGAGTACAACAATGGATAGCATTTGTGAGCGCTTTTCGATATCATTGCCAGGAATGAGTTTAGAAAGAAAAGTAACAAAAACAACACAATAAAGCCAAACAATGCCCATAATTTAAACAATGGATTTGACTCCCGATTCTGCGATGAATATAAAAGTAACAGACAGTCGGGTATTGTCATGAAATATACAATGAAAATAATTATCGAGAGAAACTGATTAAACGTATGAGTGGTTCGTGTGATAGCGTTGTGTTCAACAATGGCTCGCATTAACCGTCCGTTGAGTCCATGTTTGGCACAAAACTCTATCCGACTATTGATTGCATCGAAACTGTACTTCAAATACATAGCCATTACGATGAACATACCGGCGCCAATACATACAATGGTAAATATGTGAATAAATGATATAATTGTAATAAATGCCCAAAATATAATAGATATCAGGGTGTAATTATAATGATTATCAAAGTAGGCCATAATTGTCGGTATTATTACAATGAATGATAAAATACTTGTAATTGAAATGATTAATGGAGTGATCAATAAATTCATATAAGTATTGAATATTAGGTTAACTTTCTGAGCATTTCTGTAACTAATTGGTAAAACAGATCGTTTATGTTTCATATCATTTAATACATTCAACATTAATAAATTGTTTGAATATTCATAGATACAACTGACCATGCTTATCATAAGTGTAGACATAACAGCCATAAACCCTAACGAACCAACGAGTTGTGAATTTCCCATCATATATGTCGGGTCACACACTAACCTCTGAAGCCAGAGATTATTTGTACTATTGGTACTAGGTGATATGATTGCAAACATTAAACATCTGATTGCAAATATAAATGATATAATATTGATGGTTATTATGATGACTAAACGTCTAATGCTTTTGAATCCGGACTCGTATTCATTTAAATCGACGCAAATCGAGACATAAGTGTTTTTACCCCACTTTTCCAATAGCGATATGGCATGACCAGGGTCGTACCAGTTCTCTAGTTTAATAGCAAATATTTTAGTCATCAAATATATGACAAGTGTTGACAGTTTGGTGTTAGACTGTCGGTGGAAATAATCATTTTCATTCATTTTGAAATTAATATAATATTAATATTATAATAGTAATGATAAATAATGTTCAATGGAAATATAGTACTTTAGTAATTATTAATAGTTATAAAAATTAATAAAATACAAACTTAAATTATCAACTGACTTTATATAGCTTCTCTATGTTAATGAAAATCATTATATAAATATAATTTTAATTACAAAACTAAGCAAACACACAATGTTGAATAATATGATATAAATTAGTGATACACAATTTTTAAACAAATATCATAGTATAATAATACTGTATCTTATAATACCTTATTTTTAAAGGTTCCGCATCACTTATCTATGTTTTATTAATATTAATTTAATGATTTTGATAATAGTAAATGTTGTTATCGTTAAATAAATGTACAATATAATTATAACATTTGTTTGCATTTTGTCAAATTAAATAAATTAAACATTTAATTAAAAACATATTTGTCTGTTATATCAATAAAACCGCAAAACTGTACTAATTCATTGAATATTTATGAAAAAAATTATTAATCCCTAAAAGACTAGTGAAAACATACGGAATATAAACATATCTGTGGTATTTAAACAAATTCAGGTTTATATAGGGTATAAATTTAAAGTTTTTAAAATAAACTTCTATACTTTACTCGTAAGCAATAGAAAAAAGCTTTAAATTTATATCCTATATATAAACCCGAATTTGTTTAGATACCACAGATATAATGAGATAATGTTTAAATAATTAATGCATTTCTTATATATTAAGCAGTGTCTTTGTAAAATTTTAATTCAATGTAATTGAATGATAATAATTATAAATTATTTAAATAAATCATCAGAATGAATTTACTAAAATATAGAAATATAAAAATAACTCATAGATTTAGAACTAAATTAAACTAAATAAGTTACATTAAAATTATAATGTACACTGGTAATATAAAACACATCTAATTGATACAATAACACAACTTTAATAACATTAACAACTCATAGGTTTTGGCTTAAAATGTGTTTCAAATGCTGTTTTGAATTGTGAGCGAAATTCTGGTTCAGAAACCCTCTAAAGAATCGGTTCACAGAATCGGGTTTATGTGTTGAGCCCCGGGTGGGGAAAGGGATGCGAATAATACCATAGAATTTATGACCAAAACCCTCGCATTCAGTGAAATGAGTCTCAATTTGCGTGAATTGTTTGGCATTTAAATGAACGCTAAACACATGACTCGAGTCGTTGTCCAGCGATAAGTGAATGGCATTTGATTTGCAGTCAATTGGCAGCCAATCGGCGCCCAAATCCTTATCTAAACTCGTAATCAATGTCTCAATCATTGAGTTCTTGTCATCGGATTCCGTATAATGAGTGCCAATGAAGTCAAAGAGTCCGTCGTCTGTGACAGCCATCAGACCATACGTTATGTCCACCTTTTCGTCGTTATACTGAACCTCGAGATCTGCTCTCAAGAGTGCCTTCACTTCAATACCACTGTTGACGACACTGTTGTTCACCAGTAGATCACCCGTGGATTCAATGGATTCCATCCACACCTGGTCTTCGGGACTAACGAGTGATAACTTGTGAATAGTTTCGATGATCTGTTGTCTCGCGTTTCCCGCAAATCTTTGGCGCAAAAAGTTTGTCATAAACTTCTTGTCTGAACCACCGATTGGTACCCGAAATAGGCCTAAAAATCCAAGACATCACTCGTCATACTCATAAGACATACCACTGTTAGTGAGGAACTCATACCTAAAGACTCGGACGGGAAGTGTTGGGCATTCATGTGAGTCCTCTCCAGTTGTATCAACTCATCGCCAGTGAGTTCTTTGGCGAAGAAGTGCTGAATGTATGGCGGGTTGTCCTCCCGATGCGAACAAATCCAGTCCTCTCGAGTCACACCATTCAAGTGATAATTGATCTCTTCTTCGAGCTCTCGGTTCGTGGCGTCGATAATGTCATCGACGGTCACGTCCTCGACGTCCACTTGTCCTCCGGGACACCCGAGCTCTCCATTGTCTGTCAATTGAATCAAACCGTAGACAACACGGGAACTGTTGGCTGAAGTATAGAGCAGACAATGGGAGGCATGTCTACAGCCCGTCATACTAATGGACTCCTCAAGAGATATCGGGATATACTGCACACCACTCGTGAGCGCCGGTGAAGACATATTTACAAACTTTAAGCCTTTGGTTGGAAGTGATTGTGTGATGAATACGAAGCGATTGTCACTTATTTATATCAAACACTGATTGCCATTCATTTTGCTTATAATTTATAAGTTATAATCAAAGTATTGCTTAAGAGTTAGAAATCACATGAAACTTGTGTTTGTGTTTTAAACTCCGCCTAAACTGTCAAATTCAATGACATTTCACTGATTTATTAACGTTTAGATTNTTGCTTACAATTTATAAGTTATAATCAAAGTATTGCTTAAGAGTTAGAAATCACATGAAACTTGTGTTTGTGTTTTAAACTCCGCCTAAACTGTCAAATTCAATGACATTTCACTGATTTATTAACGTTTAGATTACATACTAATTGCATATCAATTAACAGTAAACAAAAATACAGTAAAAACAAACAAAATATAAACTCATTTCGTATTTCACCGGCAATTCCGTGCAAATATCGGACAAAAAATACAAATTATTCCTAAAATAGACTAAAAAAATAAAAACTATAATTCAATAAAAAATAAAATTCAATCGAAATAACATTAAGAATGACTAGAATTTGCATTAAAATCGGTTTCATAGATGTGTTTCAAATGCTGTTTTGAATTGCGGGCGAAATTCTGTGTAAGGAATCCCCCGAAGAATCGGTTCACATAACTGTCCGCTTTTGGTGTCGACCCCCGGAACTGGAAAGGGATGCGAACGACACCATAAGACTTGTTCCCAAAATTCTTGCATTCCGTCAAATGGGTCTCAATTGCCGTAAATTCCGTGGCATTCAATTGAATGCTAAACACATGACTGGCGCCGTTATCCAGCGATAAGGGAATGGCATTTGTTTTCCAGTCACTCGACCAGTCGATGGGTAGCCACTCTTCGCCCAAATCCTTATATAAGTTGTTATTCAATGTCTTAATCATTGAGTTCTTGTCATCGGATTCCGTACTATGAGTGCCAATGAAGTCAAAGAGTCCGTCATCCCTGACAACCATCAGACCATAGGTCACGTCCACCTCTTCCGCGTAATAATGAACGCCAATGTCTGCCCTCAACAGCGCCTTCACTTCGTGACCACCGCTGATGACAGTGGTGTCCGCACTATCACCACTGGATTCAATAGATAGCATCCATTCCTGGTCTTCGGGACTAACGAGTGATAACTTGTGAATAGTTTCGATGAACTGTTGTCTCGCGTTTCCGGCGAATCTTTGGCGCAAAAAGTTTGTCAAAAACCTCTTCGAGCTGTTCCTCTGATCGAAGCCACCGATTGGGACACGAAATACACCTAAAAGTCGGACACAAGTCGTGGTAATCATGTAATCATAAGACATATCAACCGCTCATTGAGTGTCTCATACCTAACGACTCGGACGGGAAGTGTTGGGCATTCATGTGAGTGCTCTCCAGTTGTGTCAACTCATCGCCGGTGAGCTCTTTGGCGAAGAAGTGCTGAATCCATGTCGAGCTGTGGTCGCGATGCGAACAAATCCATTCCTCTTGAGTCACGCCATTCAAGTGATAATTAATCTCTTCTTCGAGCTCTCGATTCGTCGCCGCAATTATCTCATCGACGGTCACGTCGTCGACGTCCACTTCGCCGCCGGCGAACCCAATGAGTCCGTCGAACCGCATCTGAACCAACACATAGACAACACCGGAACAGTTGGCCGAAGAGTATAGCAGACAATGGGCGGCGTGTTTGCAGCCCTTAAGACTCAGCGACTCGTCCAGTGATATCGGAATATACTGTCGACTGCTTGCGGTCACCGGCGAAGACATCGCTGAAGAGCTTCAGAAGTGGTGACCCTTTTGTGTATATATATGGGAAGCGATTGAGTGATGAAAACAAGAGATAACTATCAATAATAGTCTGTTTTATACCACAAACCTGTTATCAATCAATGTGTGGATCAGTCAGACGTATCGCCTAAGCGCTAAGACATGGCGTGTGTGTATCAACTCAATGGCCGGTGATTTGATTGCGAGTGGACTTCGAGGGCAAAGGTCTTCGCGAGTGATCTGTTGTTGACATTCACGTGATGTCTGTGTG